GTCAATGACATTAGGTGGTGGTCAACAGCATTAGGTGGTAGTCAATGACATTGGGTGGTGGTCAACGGCATTAGGTGGTGGTCAACAACATTGGGTGGTGGTCAACAGCATTGGCGGACGCCTGGCCAAGGAGCTTTCTGGCAGCACAGCCTGCAGACAAATCCAGTCTGCTCCGCGGTTGAACCTGCCTATTTTTGAGCCATTATAAAAGGGCATTTGTTTGTTTTCACGCTAGATTATTTACTTAGGTTTAAACAGAGGTCATTTGGTGGAGCCTGGGATTTGCCAGGCTTCGACTGCTCTCCGGGTAGACAGAAACAGCGGCACCCGAGCTCAAAGTGCAGATGGAAGAGGCCGTCAATGAGCAATACTCCCACCCCGTGGGCATCCCCAGGTTTCAAAGCAGCCATTGTTGATGCTTGAGTTAATGTTTGCCCAGAAGCCTTCAAAATGGAGCAGGGCTTGGAAATGTTGTGGTTGGTCCCTGTAGATAGGAAGAAATAGGGGCATCTTTCGTGTTTCTAGTTCCTTGCTGAGACGGTGGCATCACTTTGAGTTTGCAAATAGGGATGCCAAGGATACGGTGATTGTTGGCGAGAGCAGAGGGGTCCCTCGCGTTTCTTGTGCCAATGGCAGCTCCATGATATTGGAATAAATAGCATTGGTACCTTGAAAATAGGGTCATGCCCAGTGGGAATTTTATCATTATTTCAGTGGGTTTAACAACAGAAAATATGAGGATAAGTTGTGCTGGTTACAGCTGGTGGTTCAGAGAGATGCAGAGCAGCTCAACTAAACAGGTCCAGATGGTTTTCCCAAGGAAAAAAACCAGTTTTGGGAATTCAGGAAGTTTTCTGAGAAAATTCTGGTCTTAACACAGAATATGCATGGAGGGAAAGGGAAGTCTTTGTAGCTCAGTAATGCAGTTTAAATATCTCAGATGAGAAATGGGACGCATCACCAGTTTAGGGAGGAGAAACGTTCACGTGAGACCTGGTGGTGGCCAACAGAAATATTTTGAAGTCTGAAGTTCATGGCACGTTTCAAGTGGAGGTTTCTTTGGAGAATTAAGAGATTGAAAAGCCAAATCAAGTGTTGGGTCTTCCTACGTAGCAAGAATTGCCCTTCTGGACCCATTTATAGCCTTGAAAAGAGCATTGGTGGGGTGTGGGGTGGTGCAGGAGCCTCTGCAAGACCTGGGAAGACTCTGGGAGACTTGGCTTCAGGTGGTTTATTCTTTGCTAATGGAAAAAATGACCTTGGATGGGATAAAAATTGCAAATGAGAGTGGGAGGCAGAGCAAATTGCTGGTGTTTCAGCACTGGACATGGCCTCTCGCCTTCAGCATCACCCAAGGGTTGCCCATGGCGCCTCCTCTAACAGCTCCTTTCCCCCAGCCCGCAGCCCCGTCCGGAGCCC